TCTACAGTGCCAAAACAGAAAATAAAACATTTTATTTGTTAAGCATTAGCACTGAAGATACAAGAAGCACTCAAGAGAGAAATACGGAATGCACTTCATGTACCTCATTATCACCTACGCACACACAGCTGATCAGCCCCATGCCTGCAGTGTCTGGGTTCAGCCTGTGTTCCTTGGTGTGCAGCCTCCTTGCTTCCCCTTCCCTCATACCTTACCTCTGCTCTAGGTACCACTGCTCCTTTACAAGGCCCCAGGATGTCACTGCCCACAAAGGCTGACCCAGGAACACGAAGTGAGCCGTTTCCTCAGGATATGGTAACCTCCACATCCCTCTCACCTTCCCTTTTTTCTGCATGTGGACTCACAGCTCATAAACCTCCTGGTAAAGAGCTCACTACTATATGAGAACCTTTCAGTGAGTTGATGGGACTCAAAGTTATTCAAATAATTGTTAAGCCCCAACTATGGATTACAGCATCTGTCCTACACCATACCGGGGACAACTGACCAAAAACTGGCATCCCACCAAGGGCTCTCCACGCACTGTAAAGTTATTTACAGAAAAGAAGGCATAAAAAGAAAGGTTGCTTCCTAGGAATTTCTGCTTCTGCCAGTCTGACATTTTGCCCAACAGTGTGGTGGCCCAGCCCCAAGCAATGGACAGAACCCAGCAGGGAGCACACCCTGTGTCACACCCAGTGCTGCTCCAAGAGAAACCACCAGCACAAGGCCTGGAGGGAGGAGACAGAGGGAATATGAACTGATACACAAAGGGTGCAGATCAACAAACCTAATTACCAGAATTACTGATAAACAAGGAGCTTCCCTTCAAAGAGTCCTAATTACATTCAAACAGATAGTCAACCTTAAGGGGTGGTTCTTCCAAAGCAGGAGTGGAAGTCCCTGTCAGACTGAGGAGGAGGAGACTAAGCTGCTTCAGCAGAGAGAAGGGAGCCTTAAAAGAAAGTCCCAGATGACCCACCATCAGCAAGATGCCCGACAAAGGCCTGAACAGCTCTCCAAACACCTTCCCAATGTCTGAAATCAAACCATAGCAGTAGCCCTACACACAAAAAAAATGGCTCAGCTGTAGCAAAATGCACTCTGGGCACAACCAGGCACGCTGCCTTGTCAGCTTCATACAGGGGAACGTGTCTCTAGAGTTAATCAGTGTGTGCCAACAGCAAAATCCCTGAATCGCCCAGCTGTGGAAAAAAAGTAGCACGGGTGATTTTCTGAAAAACCTCAATCTTCAGAAATAAAAAAGGAGAAGTCCTTCTAGTATCAAAGGTATGAGTAAAGGAGACTTCCAACAGACTCACAAGGCTTACTGAGTGCTAAGATTAGTCTCTTGACTAAAGCAGAGCTTGAGCACACCCTTTGTGTAAGCCTAGGGACCTTTTATCAGAACAGAGCAGTACGTGGAGCACACAGGGCTGCCACTGCTACCAGCCTGCCCTGTTGCTCAACAGACCGCGATGTCACTACAGGCAGAACACAGACTGCTGGCAGAGCGAGTCTCTCCCACGAGAAGCAGATTCTGCAGCTTACATCTGTCTGTCACTACCAGCTACACACAGAGGCAAGGCAACAGCCAGAGCTTAGCTCGGAAACCATGGTACATGACACAGCGATCTTCCTGCCAGACCCAGGCAGGCTACACTCTGCAAACACACACAGCCTGATTTTGGTCCTACCAAGCCAAACCTCGTGGTGCCAATTGTCAAATTATTACTCCTGTGTACAGATTTGCAATGGCATGAATGAGAAACTAGCGTTTGGAAGGAAGACCCAATTGCTCACAAAGGAAACTGTGGCCAGTGACATGTCTAAGGGAAGGAAAAAAATAAGGACCATCTCCCAGTTTTCCTCTATGGTGGGATTTGGTGGTTTCTAAAACTAAAAAAAGCTTCCAGACTAATGAACGGTCAGGTAGTAAATAATGCAGCCTAAATGTGCTCAGGCTTGATCATCCAAGTGAAAGTACAACTGCACCCGGCCTTCTGCCAGGATTGCACACAGAACACCAAACCCAGCACACCGAGCCAAGCATTCACAGCTGTCTAGTCGGAATTTAATTCTCCTAGCTTTCTTCTTGTTTCATATGTAAAATACATACCGCGTTAGGGACATCATAAGCAACTCCCTTTCCAAAAACAGGTGTTGTCAACCGGGAGTATACATCCTCTGCATTCAGGTCTTCATTTTTGCTATTGAAGAGCAGTGCAGCTGCATCACTACCCAGTAAGTAGGTGAACGTCTTGCCAACCATTGTGAAACTGAACACAGGTCCATACTAGGAGGAAAGAAATAACAGTTCTTCTTTTAAAAAGTAGGAACATGAATCATGCAATCATTATCTCTTTATGTACAAGCTTCTACAAATCACTATTCACCTAAGAAACAGTTAGAGATCTAATAAAGATATAAACATTTTAAACTATATTTAAATTCTTCTCCCAATAGACTTATTAGTGATATAACTAACGCGTGTGATCATGCAAACTGTAAAACTATTATGCTTAAAAAAATCATGGAAAAAAAAATGACACCATGAGATCTGGCAGAGACACTACAAGAATGCAGCAGCCTACAGTAACCTATAAATGCTGTCTTGGAAAAAAAAAAATGGATTTGGAGTTATGCACTGATAATTAAGAGCAAATAAGATTTTAAATATTAAATGACAACTCCAACAGATGCTCACATACTAATCTTAGCTTGATTAGCCTGGAGAAAGACAAGATTTAAGCTTATGACTCCAGAAAGTTTTAGACAACGTGACACATATCAATACATCTGACTGTACTGGAATTAAGGCTCTACTGCCTTAGACCCTTTCTTTTGGGCTGTTTAAATCACCAAGGTTTTATGCACCAGCCCTTTTAACATTGCTGAGCACCTTAAGAGTCATAAAATCACCTACTATAGAGACAGTCAGCAGATTAGGAAAGAGTGAGATTAAAAGACTCCCATTAATACAAAAAATAACATTGTGAAAATGGATTTTTAACGAACTTGTGATTCCACTACAATTTAATTCAACAGTCTGAAGAAACCACAGCCTATTGTGCATGCTTCATTCTATGTTCAAGGCAATAAGAGAGACTCAACAGTTTTTAAACAGAGCTTAACAGATACACAGAAGTATTTTAGCACACGCTCAGCCATTCGCGTAAGAAAACGTACCTTGTCGTAAGCGTTTTCCAAAAACTCAATGGGACTTTTTCCAAATGCTATCGCATGCCCAAGGAAAGGGATGCTTGACGAAATATACGGTGGGTATTTCTGAGGAAGAAAGAGAAAAAAGACTGAATTTTCTTCAGAGACTAACGAGATGTCTCTGAAGACATGCGGGGCGCCCACAGCTGGCCCAAGACCCCCAGCGCTGCCGCCCCCCTCCGCAGCCGTCCCCGGGCAGCCCCCCCCAAACCCCCCTGTCTGCATCGAGCCCTCTCCCCGCCGGCCCCCACCACCTTCCCCGGTCCGCCCCCGGCTCGCACCCTCTGCTCGGAGCCGACATGCCGCCGGTAGCCCAGCTGCAGCAGGTAGCCCAGGCTGAGGACGAAGGCGGAGGCGGCCAGCGCCAGGGACAGGGGGTTGCCAACGGCCACCCGCTCCAGCAGCGAGCCGCCGACCTCCAGCAGGCTCAGCATCGCCTCACGGCTAACGGCCGCCCGGCCGCCTCACGGGAACCGTCGCCTCACCGGTAACGGCCAACAGCCAACGGCCGCCCGCGCGCCGCGGCTGAGGCGGGGGGGGGGGGGGGGGGGGGAGGTGGCGGGCCCCGCCCCCCCGCGCTGGGCTGATCTCTGCCCATGTGACGCCTGCCGCCGGCAGGGCCAATGGCGGCCCGCGCGGCACGGGGTGACGGCGTCTGCTGGGCTGCCGGGGCCGCCATTGGGCGGCTGGCGGGGAGGCGGGGAGGGAGGAGGGGGCGGTGCGCGGCACGGCGCTGAGGCGGGGGCGGTGGCTGAGGGGAGCCCCAGCGGGGTGAGGGGTAGCGGTCATTAACTGGTGATTGAGGCAGCACATTTGGCCTTACACAGCCTGAGGGCAGGTCCGGCTTTCCGTGAGGGTGTTTTTCCATGTGTGGTGTGCAGGAGGCTGGGCTGTAGTTCCCTGCGTCTCCGTTCTTCCCTTTACAAAAAAAGGGAGTTATGTTTCTTCCAGTCAGTGGGAACTTCACCGGACTGACACAGCTTCTCACGGGACCCGTGGATGTATCTCGACATGCCCCATGGACTCGTGCACCTTTAGGTTCCTTATCGGGTCTCAAACCTGGTCTCCTACATGGGCAGTTCTTCATTCTCCCGGTCCCTGCCTTCTGCGGGTTGGGCTGTGTGGCTGAGCTCTTGCCTGTGAAGACTGAGGCAAAAAAGTCACTGGGTGACCAGGTCTCCCGTTTCCTTCTGGAGAGGGCCCACAATTTCTCTGTTCTTCTTTTTATCACTGAAGTACCCGTAGCAGCTTTTCCATTATATCCATTAAGGCAACAGGTAATCATCTTTCTGGACTCCCAACCCCCTGTTTCCAAACACAAACCTCCTGTATGCTGCAGTTACTGGGTAACAGCCTACTTCTTCCCGCTCTAAAAAGTAAGCTAGAAAGATGCTCAGAATGCTGACCGTATCTTCATACAGCCTTGGTGAACACTAAAATTTGTTGCAAGCAACATGTTAAAACCATGAACATTTTTTTTTCTGTTTATAAACATTATTCAATAATTGAAAGTGAGAATTTAACAGCAATGAATAAAACAACTTGATGTAATAGATTCAAGATCTACTAAAGTTTCCATAAGTACATTTTTTAATAAAATGACTTCACTTCAGAAATCAAAAAGGTGCATTTTTGATTTATTTTTTTTTTGCACAATCAATCTTTAAGAGACTAGACAAGCTAATACAAAATTATGAATGACTTTCAAAAAACAGGCTGAGTACGGTATGATCAAAGGGAAAAGAATTTCAGGGATAAAAAGAATGGCAACACAAGCCTTTGTTCTGTTCATACCCACTCTTTGTATTCCTTGTTTAGAATTTCACCATTTGTGAATAGAGTTTTAAAGCTTTCACTTCGTTGGTTAGATCATACATGCCTGTCATTACTAGTATTCTGATCAGTTTATCTACCATTTCAGCATAAGTTAGGTCTTGGTTTTCACTGATCCAAACGTCCAGTGCCTTGATGATTTTCTCTTTCAACATAAGAGCCCTGTTAGGAAAAGAAGTTACAAAGTAAATATCTGAGAAAAAAAAAAAAAAAAAAAAAAAAAGATTTGTAGATATTTACTAAATTTTACATAGATATATCTACTCTGTATTGAACAGAAAATGTACCATGAATTCTTTAATCTTCTGTGTATTAACTTCATAAAATAGTAATGACAAAGGAAATGGGAAGTAAAACCAACAAGATACTGTTACAATCACCTGTAACTAACCTGGTATTTTCCAGAGACTTGATGTCAGCCTGACGAAGTTGCAGTTTCTGACAGAAAAATTCAAAATTTTCAGAAGCAACGTTGTCAGCAATCACTTCTATCATCTTACGCAGTATCTTCTCTAAATAGAAATGTATAAAGCAGTATTGTTAATTAAATAAAATTGCGTATCTTGTCTAACATGTTCTGTAAATGCTGTTTACCTGCTTCAGGGTTTTTCTAATACCAAACATCATTTTCCAAGGTGATGTCACCATCCTGGAGGATGTATCATTATCATCATCATCTCCTCCTCTCCCTCATAACCCTGCTGTGGGTGGGGGAATTGAATACTCCTCATCTCAGGGAGGCCCTGCCTTCAGCCAGAAGGGTTGTAAGACTCCAGCACACTGGTGAGTTTCTGGTAGTTCACAGGATCACAGAATAATTTAGGTTGGAAGAGACCTCCAAGATGTTGCCCCAGACCATCTGGTTTTGGTCACTGCCACATTATGGGTGCTTTTCATTTTCTTCAGCTTGAAGCAGCATGAGTTACAGGAATAGCAGGGTGGAGAGGTACGCTGTTGAGAACATGTTTTACAGTACTCGGCTGCCTCACAGCTCAGCTCACCACCACTCAAGAGCGAACCAGATTGTCAAAGCAACTGTGTGTATCCAAACAGCTCATGTACATGTATGCTAAGAATAAAAAATTTTCTCTCCCTTATGTGACTGAAAACAAGTGTTATACCTGACAGGATTAGGATTCATTGCATTTACACTGCATAAAGTGAGGAAGCAGTAGTTGCAATATTCTTTTCTCTTTGATCTTCATCAAGTTATCCAAACTCATAGCCAGCTTCTTGGGTAGCACGTGAAACAGCACAACATTCTCAGTGAACTGACCACTTAAAGATGGCTACAAGGGCACAGGAGGGAAACCCTATTACTATTCCTACTTCCCTATTACTATTGTACCCTACTTGCCTATGAACATTATAAATTGTCCAAGTTTTGTTTTGCCTGTGCTTGCATGGTTGCCTTCTACGTCTTGTTTACAGAAATACACAGATCATTAGAGGTGACGCCATGTCCCCTGGGTGTCAGGACACTGACAGGACCTGACATTCCACCTTCTCCAAACAAGCACCTGGACATAGTCTCCATAGAAAAAGTCTAGCCTAAGTGTTCTCATACACAATTTGGTCAAGAGAAGACGTCTGGGGAGGACAATCACTGGCAAAAGCCTAGCATATTCTCTATCTCTGGGCTCTGTCAAGAATTTACATACTTAAATACACACGCCTAAACCCCAGTTTCAGTTTTTGGCTGTCAGCTTCCATTTCTGAAGAGTCCTAATGCAATAATACAATCCTAGCTCTTGAACTACAGGTTTCTTATCAGTGACCTCATGCAACCCCCCATAAAACAATAACAAATAAATGCTTGTTGATTTCTGTATATATGTCTGCAAAGGAAGCACACAAACAGTAATCGTAATTTTGATATTGCTGATACTAACAAAAATCAGTGAGGAACAGAACCAGAACCAATAACAACTGCCTTCTGAAAACAGCTAGGTGGAGTTTCAACAGCTCCTACAGCAGTTACCTTTAATGCACAGAAGTACCTCTACTTGTTCTTAACATACCGTCTCTTTCATTGGCACTTTCCAGATAGCACAGAATGGGATACAGTTGCTTTCCTCTGCACAGATCCTGCAGTGGCTCAGACAGAGAATTTCCATCGAAGTTTATATCTTTCAGCATATGAAGGTGATGAAGACCAGCAGGCAAAGATTTCAGTCGATTTTCTGTTTAAATACATAGGCATGCTTCACTACATCTGTATTGCATTCATCTAACGAAGCTTGGGACATGTCAGGGAAGAGACTATTCTTTCTTAATTTTAATTATGAATTCAGCATTGCATAAACATAAAATGTAAGGGAAGAAAAATTTTGCCTCAGAGAATTTACAGTTTGGGGATTTAACTGTAATAGCAATAAAATTAAGGATTTCCTTCTCTGATTTCACGGGCTACTGTAGTGGCCTGATGGCCTACTACACTGTGAAACTGAGAGAATCTTGTAGAAGTTAACGCTGGCATTCTGAAAAATATTCTTAAGGGAGAAATGAAGGAAAGAAAGGAAATCAGCTGATGCACAAAAAGAAAAAAGTTACAAGTAGCTCTAAAAATGAGAGTGACAAATAGAGGGGAAGAAAATGAAAGGAGAGCTGGAAAGTTCAGTAATGAGAAATATGGGCAACAAAGGCAGAGACGGATGGAAACAAGCAAAGAAGCAAGCAGAAAAGGATTTAAGCAAAATGTTACAAGATGAAGGAGTCACTATCAGCATAATGCAGTAGAAAAGTAAATGAAGAGACATGGAGGAAGGACAATATATCATAGCAATAAAAGATGAATTCAAAACTGTAAGCCTGGCTTATAGCAGTGTATAAAAGGTGTCCTCGGTCCATAGGATTTTAAATGGTATCAGTCAGAAAACATCTGAATAAATTCCCAAAACATCCTAACTGCCTGTAAAGCACAGCAGCTAGGCAGGAAGGGATCACTTCCAGGGATACTTCAGCTATTGCTGAACATGCAGCTTCCCGTGCTAACACGGCAGGAGCTCCTGTCTCTGCGTGACACTGTGCTGAGCCGCGAGTTTCAGCCTGCAGTGAGTGAACACAGGGTGGAACATGGCAGCCGTGTTGATGCAGCTGAGATATACCTGAGATAACAGGCTATGCAGGGCTCTGCTTCATGCCCATCTTTTTGTCTGAGCATTTTTAACAGTCACTTGACAACCCGGTAAAACCTCCACATACAAAAAAAGACAACAGACTGTATTATACCAGTGCTACTAATTGGAAATCTGAACACAAAGATAAACGTTCTTTGCAACAGAATAATGTCAGTCCTAAAAGTGGTAGGTCCCTGCAGAATAAACTTTGTAGTGATGGGTGCTTTGTGTATGTCGGGCCTTTATCTGCCTGATGATCGCATCTGCAAAAATCATGTCCCTTAAGAAGGTTTCAGAGGGGGTCACAGAAGGTTCACAGCTGTGTTAAAAGATACTTGGTTAGAAGCAAGAGCAGCATACATTAAAAACTGGAAAGCTGCATTTCTCTCAGTTGTTTCATCACCTTCTCATCTTGTGATATGTTTATACTCATCAGGGGCACAGTTCAGTACTTAAATGCCACTAATGAATCGAATGCCTGCTACTTACCACTCAGATCAAGGTGCTGCAGATTTCTTAGCGATGTAATAGACTTGGGGAGCTGGCTGATATCATTATTATTTGCAATTAAATGGACCAAATATTCCAGTTCCCCTATGCTCTCTGGCATTTCCTTTAACGCATTATGAGATATGTCAAGCTCCCGGAGGCAAACCAGTTTAGATAACTCCTCTGGAATTTGAGTTAGCTGATAGAGAAAGAAGACAATTCATTTATTTTGATATGATTTCTCTTATGTGAAAAGTTAGAAAGGTAACTTTCCTGCAGGCAAAATTACATTCCATAATTTAATTCCAACAGTAAAAGCAGTTTGAACTTCAGTTCTAGTTGAAGCTAATTTAGTATTTTCCAATAAGTTTACAGATGATGAGCAGAAAATTTGCAGCAAAACTTCTAGACACAATAATAGAATGGCAATAAAAAGACATGCCTCCATAGCAGGAGCTGCAGGAGAAATCCTTTTGGGTGCTGTTATCATTACTAATTCATTAATGAAAACTTTTACCCTCTCAGAACACTCAAATATTTTTTTCAGCCTCTTGGGTATGAAACATATTTTTCTTCCATTTAGTTCTTACCTTGGTGTTTCCTAAATTTTATTTTCCTCCTAGGAACTTTAACTGTTCTTCAGGTACTGTGGACACTAGACCACTCTCTGAGAAATGAACATAAGCTCACAGACCTTTTCCTCTCGTCTCTGAAGAAGGTAAACCCTTGGTAGACAACATAACCACACTTGAAATCATACAAAGAAATCTGAGTCTTTTCTGAAATGCTGATTTTGCAAATTCTGGTGAAAGATTAAAATGCTTAACTTTTTAAACGAGTGGGCCAAGGACTGTGTGTATCAGTACTTGCTTTAGAAAGGTGCTTAATTTCAACTGGCAATGATAGCACCATGCCATTTTATTTATGACAGCCATCTGCCTTTTTAATCAGAAGGCAGGTCAGACAGGTTTAGATTTCCTCAGGAGGTTTTTTGTTTTTTTTTTTTTTTTTTTTTTTTTTGTTGTTGTTTTTTTTTTTTACTTTCCCTGCCTCATTCCTTAGTATAAAAAAGATGATAAATTAAACTTTGGATTTTAGAAATGAGAAGTAATTTTCTCTGCTATAAGCAATCAGAGAAGCAATATAGTTTTTCTTCTTTCAGTTAATCAAACTTTAACACACTTCTAGTGTTAAGAAGTTTGATGCAAGTTGGAAAGATTTGTTCATTTTACGGAGAGAAATCTTGGAGGCAGGCTTATCTACCAAATTCCAGCTAGCCATTTTGTCTCTTAGCATCCACTGGGATGGAAAATACAGCAATTTGTACCAGTAAGAATGAGGAATATATGGCTTACTTCAGGTCAATCTTGATTATCAAAATATCACTTCAAGATACACCTAAATAACACCATATATAGTAAGGTTTGTATCTAGTATTTCTAAATAAATGTGCATTCTAATAGATTTTTGTCCTGTTCTGATATTAAAAACAGATAAATACATAAATGTGTTTCCCTCTGTGTTGATGTCCTCAAACACAGGAGCTTTAGCCTGTGTTCGGAGGAAGTCTATTTATAATAATTTTGCAGCATGACAATCTGTAAGTTTTCTTACCTGAAGGAAATGACCTCTTACCTTCAACCCATTCATTTGAGACACGGTCAATTTCTCCAGTGAGGACAGATGAAATACTTCAGAAGGAAAAGATGCAAACTGGTTGTCTGATACATTTAAGTCTTTGATTGCTTCCAGATTGCTAATTTTTAACGGAATAGTCTTTATCTGATTATTTGACATGTCGAGTGCTTTTAAAAACTTTAAAGTACACAGCTCTTCAGGAAATGAGTCAAACTTGTTATGGTGTAACAGAAGCACCTGGAGAGACTTCATCTCAGATACCACGGCTGGTATGCTATTGATTTCATTCTCACTTAAATCCAAGTAAACTAGTTTTGTAAAGCTGCAGAAGCACGCAGAAAATGAGGACAGTTTATTTTTGTTTAACTCTAGATGCTCCAAATCTTTAATATCGGAAATTCCAGGTATTATTTCTGAAATAGAGTTGCCACTAAGTTTTAAGTATTTAAGATCAAATAAAGCACACAAAGCATTTGGAAACTGAGAGAGCTTATTATAGCTGAGGTCAGCTTTGGTTATCCGTATGCAATCTTTTAATTCAACAGGAACGTATGTCAATGCGTTTCCTGAAAGCTCTATCTTGGAGAGGTTTTTTAAATGGGATACTCGCTCATCCAGTGAGTCCAGCTGATTCCTACTTACAGAGAGCTCCTTTAGATTTCTAAGTCTGTGGATATTAGCAGGGAGCTGGGTTAACTGATTATCATGTATAATGAGATGTTTCAACATGGTACAGTTGCAAAGATTATCTGTAAGGCTTTTGAATAAATTTTTTGCAAGGTTCAGAAACCTAAGTTCTCTTAAATTCTCCACTTTATCTGAAAGATACTCCAATTTGTTATCATCAACTCTGAAGTCTTTCAGTTTTGTCAACTGGAAAAACTGCACAGGCAGAAATATAAGCTTATTGTTACTAATTGAAAATTCTTCTAGTTTCTTGAGTTCTTTAATATCCTTTGGTAAACTCTGAATTGAGTTCTGACATATGCTGAGTTTTACTAGATTAGGAAGGTAGCAGAGAACCCTTGGAAATATTGAGAAGTGATTGGAATCAATGTTGAATACCTTCAATTTTTCCATGTCAACCATGGCATCTGGCAAAGTTTTCAGCTTGTTCCCAGCAAGCTCTAATGTTTCAAGGCTTCTCAGTGCAAAAGGAAATTCATCCATGTTGTTGTGATTCAGAAAAAGTTCCTGAAGATTTACAAGCTTTGAAAATTCTTTAGGGAGATTCAGTAACTGGTTGTGACTGACATTCAATACTTTTAATTTACGAAGAAATGTTATTTCTGGTGGCAAACATGTCAGTCTATTTCTTTCAAGTAACAGGATCTCCAGATTAGTTAGAAGTCCTACATTTAAATGTAGTGTTCTTAGTTCATTGTTGTGTAAGAACAAGCGTTTCAATTTTTGACATTCAAAAATGAGCACAGGCATATCCTGGAGTCCTTTATCATTTAGTCTAAGTGTAAAATTATCATCTTTTCCTTCAGGCATCAAAAATGTTGATCCTTTTTCAGTGCTTTCAGGATTCTCTGCTGATGATAATGTGTCTGGTCTGGCACTGAAAGCTTCTGAAAGCTCTTGGTTCAGTTCCTCAGCGTCTTTTGTATCTGATGTAAAACTGAGCTTCCTCACACCTGCTTCAGGGATACCCTGAGGCACTGTGGAAACATTTCTCTCAGCTGAGGATTCATATTCATGCTTTTCTGCAGGTAAATCACTTTTTGATTCATTTTCCGTCATTTTATGGCTTTCCTGATCTGCTTTAGGAACTTCATGTGACATTTCAACTCTAACTTTTCACAGTTGGGGCAGCTGCTTCAGGACTCTGCTGAATTTACCAGGTCTTCCTTGGTATCATTGTCAGGAATTGCATGAAAGTTTTTGTTTAATCCTTCTGTATTTAGACTTTGTGGAATTTAATCTTCTTCCTTCTCCAGAGACATTGGTTCTTTTTCTGGATTGGCAATTGATTCTTACTGCTATTTTTTAAGAAACCAAAGTGTAAGCATGAAATCCATATGGAATAATAAAAGTGTTGACATTGGCAGATTGAGCTAGCAATTGTATAAGAAAAAATCTAGGTTACTTTTTTTTTTTTTTTAACATATTTGTGAACTTTCCCACTTCTTTGTTTACCCAAAGTAGGAAATTGTTTTACTGCACTGCTTGTTACTTTAATATAATATCTTGTTTTTCTATACAGTACTACAGATCACAAAACATATATCACAACTGTGTCATTTGTTGCTTGAGATTTCATAGAATCAACAGACCCATTAAATGCAGCTTTTAATTTAAGAATGTTTGAGATGTTTCTTTGCCTATACACAACATTTAGTTAAGTAGCATCTCATCGTTAAAATATAAATATATTTATCTTTTAAGAAACAGGACCCGTAATTTAGGCTTTCTAAGTCTACACTTAAACATCAAACTGGTTTTAAAATCAAAATGGTTTTAAAATGCTGAATATGCAATAACATACGCAATAATAACTTTATTAAAATGCTTACATTGTAAAATGTAACTTTTATTTTTAAGCTCCTTGAAATCACAAACAAATAAGAATAGGCCTCAAGCAGAAAGAATTGCTTATCTAAATATGGATGTGGAGTTAATGGATGTGCGATATATAAATCTTGAAATCCACATTTATCTATCTCATAAAATAAAAAAGCTGTTACTGAAATTGTTTTGATTCTGTTTCACAGGGCAGCCATCATTACTACAGATACTTACTGCTATGTCAGACACAGTTCTGAACGGTTCTTAATTTTTCATGATAAACAACAGTGGATGAGATTGGGTTATTTCAGTCTGTAGGGACACAGACTAACCCCAGAGTGTATTTTGAGAAACATTTGACAAGGGTAAGAGGTACAACACTCTGCTTTCCACATGGGGCCCTTGTGTTCCACCTGCACAGCACAGGATGTCCCCTGACAGCAGAGGCTCAGGCACGGCTCAGCTGTGTGCATCCCACAGCTCTCTAGAGCTCTCCTTGCATGTTTGTCCTGCCTCAGCCTGCTAATTACTACTTCAGCCTTCATTCTGCTGTTGGCAATGCAGCACCACAAGCAGAATATCGCCACCTCACCTGACTGCCGGCTGGCAAACCCAAGGCGCTCATCACCAGCCTCCTCCTCCCCCTTCACAGGCAGATCTGCACCATCCTGCTCCGTAAGCCTTCCGACGTGAGCTCCTCCAACAGATTTACATTTTTCCCTCCTTCCTTTAACACTGGTCTTTCTGCCGAGGTGGTACAAAATTATAACACCCTTACTCCGTGTTACTAAAAAGTTTTAAGGTCAAGAGGAACCTTGGCAAACCATGCAGATCACCACTGCCGAGCCTGTATTTATTTATTTATTTTTTTAAGAAACAGCCTATTTTGTAAAGCATACCTGGCTGTAAGTGACAGGAGGGAATCCCCTGTCTTTTTACGGTGACTTTTCCCTGTCACCAAAGCAACAAGAGGAGGACGCGGGGGCTGCCTGAGGGGCTCCCCTCAGCACCGAGCCCTCCTCCCGACCCCTCAGGAGCAGCCCCTGAACCCCAGCAGCTCCTCGGCCCGGCCCGGCCCTCCTCGTCCCAGCCCACCTCAGCCGCCGCCGCACCGGGTCCAGCCCCGGTCCGCCCGGTCCGCCCGGTCCCGGCCCCGGTCCCGGCCCCGGTCCCGGCCCGGCCGCCGCCGCTCCCCTCAGGGCTCCCGGCCGTTGCCGCGGCAACAACCGCGCCTCACGCAGCGCCCCGAGGAGCCGCGGGAGGGCGCTGAGGGAGGGAATGCTGGAGACATGGGGGCGGCGGGTTGGAGACCTCCCAGATCATCAGGTCCAACCATCCCCTACTACCAATGTCACCCACTAAACCGTGTCCCCAAGCACCACGTCCAACATCTCCTTGAACACCCCCATGGAAGGTGACTCCATCGCTGCCCTGGGCAACCCGTCCCAGTGCCTGACTGCTCTCTCTGAGCAGAAATGTCTCCTCCTTTCCCACCCGAACCTCCCCTGGTGCAACTTGAGGCCATCCCCTCTAGTCCTCTCACTAGTTACCTGTGAGAAGTGGCCACCCCCCAGCTCCCCACACCTTCATGCAGCTGTATAGAGCAATAAGGTCCTCCCCTGAGCCTCCTCTGCTCCAGACCAAACAACCCCAGCTCCCTCAGCCGCTCCTCGCAGGACTTGCATTCTGTAAGAAAGGCTGGGAATGGCGGCTGCCACGCTGGGAGACCACGGGTGCTGCTCGCAGCCCCATGTCCCTCCTCACATGAACTAAGGACAAAATAGGGGCTTGCCCCGCTAGCCCATAATTAAGGCTGGGAACCATTCCACAGGTAATTTGAGCTTCACAGCGTTTCGGACAACCTCAAGTCAACATGTAAAGCTTCTGTACAGCAAAAGGCATCCTGGCTAGACCTGGGCCAGTCCTGTCTTGCAGTGAGGCCCACACTGAAAGCGGGGAAAAACCCATCCTGGCAGCAGGGTAGTCTAATGATTAATTATCCCACTTGGTAAAAAATGTGCCTGTTTTTCACGGTTTGAATTTTCAACTACAATTGTGCCTTACTCAGCCTTGCTGGAATATTCCATCAAATCTTTGCTTTATCAACTACATGGCTATTGATTTAAAAATACTTGTTAGAGAAACTACTAACAGTTGACCTAAACATTTGTAAGCAGGAGTTATTTCATTTTTAGACTTGCAGCTCTTTTTCAATTCCGAAGGACTGTTACTAGCAGTCTATCTCTACAACATCAGATTTCTCTCTGCTCCTGTTTCACATTTCCCACTTCTAGACAAAAGGACATCACACACCTTTCTTGTAACAGCAACCCAGTGACAACTGCTATGTGCCCAGCTGCCAGAAGCCTACCTGGACAGCATGGCTGGGCTCTCAGTCCTCAAAAACTCCCTTGGTACACAGCATCTGCAGCCTTTGGGTTTGCCAGGACTGAGTTTCCAGTTTTTCTGATCAGTGCTCAAGTTGTATCCACGGTGCACAGCAAAGTGCTCTGTGTGCCTCAATTTGCAGTCACCATGGATCCCTTCCTGTGATCCTATCTCATGATCACCCTACAAAACTTGCGAAGGTAAGCCTGTTAAAAAAAAAAAAAAAGTGTTTTGTAAAGTAATAGGACTTGTTTGGTGACACATTTGATGGTACTTCCATGCTGGTGGCAATAATATAAAACCAACAAAGATGACTTGTTGTAAACAATTTATTAAGTAGTAATAAATAAGAATCTTAGCAGAAAGAACTATACAGCATTAAGGCATATTAATACTGTTGTTAAATATGTGACTGTAACACACATCTTAACATTCTTCCTCTAGTTTTGTAACAAAGTGCTGTGTATGGAAGAGTACTTCTGATACCAGTGCGCCACGATAGCAAGGACGCACTATGATGGACCTAACTGTTGCATTATTTACCTTAAATAAAAGATAACCATCCATGATTTACTGTTCTTCATGACAGTGAAGTTTCAGTTTTAAAGCACAGCTTTCTAAGAAGGTAACAAATGAAGTCTCCCTGTTCACTTTTTTTTTTAAGATGTTAATTTCTTAAAATGTACTTCCTAGTAGTGAGGTACTAGTAAAGGCATTATAAAACAACACAGTTCCTAACACTTGTTTTAATCTTCACTTTAAAAAACAACAAAAAAAGCCACTTGTCTGTAAGTTACTTTACAAAATATTGCACACTGTTTTAGCATGCAGTTTACATGGAAGAAATAGTCAAGTGCACTTAAAACCCCAAAATGCAACTAGGATTTTTAAAGATGTATCATGAATACTATTTTAAGGTACAACGACGTTTCAGACTCCATAGCATTCAACCTTACACTTAAGACCCAACACGTTAAGACCCAGTCCTAACTGCAAAGAGCAAGAATGCTTATAAACTGTATTGTTGCATTATCAAACTGTAACTGTTACATAAAGTATATTCATTCCTGCATCCTGCACTCCTTGTGGTTTCAATAAACTGAAATAAGTAATGAGTAGGAGAATGAGTTTAACAGAAATAACTCAGTACATCCTATATGAGCGTTTGTTACTGCATATGTATTGCAATCCAGGGTAAGACTTATTAAACTTTCTGAAGACTTCTGAATAAGATTTATTTATAAATCTGTATCTGTCTCTCCTTCACATACAAAATTTTATATTGCACAGCAAAAGTAAAAATCCAGTTTTCCTATAACAAGCATGCTAAACATTTAATATGGCTTTTGTAGATTCAAAGTATTTCCCTTTTGACATCCTCATGCAGTATTTTAGAATAAATTTGAATACAAAGTATGAGAAAGAGTAAAAATAAAGCCAGCTATAACATTCGTCAGAAACCAAATAAAAAATATGAGTTTATCAAAAGTAGTTGGTCAAAGGATTGACTGGTCTTCTAGGCATACTTATCAACAGTATTTTAAAAATAAAGTTTGTCTACAAATACTAAAACATATACAACCTCCTCGATGTTCCACAGAAAGACAGGAAAGGTAAATAGGTTAACTGAGACTTGCCTAATGGCACCAGCAGTCCCATAATCCTCTGGGAGCCATAGTTCCCAGATTCATTCTCGTCCAACAATCAAGAATCAAGAATGATTCCTTATTCACTCTCGTCTGACTGAAATTTACATTTTACTAGCTTTATTGGTTTACCTGAAGCTCTACAATAGCTTATATGCAAAACAAAAATATTTATAAAAATAATAGATATGTTGTATAGTTTTTTAAAAAAATAAACCATGCAGCTTCTGTACAAAGTTAAAAAAACAACTGTACAAATAGACTTTTCTATTGTGTAAAACTCATGTTTGTGGAAGTCTTCTGTTAGGATGGGAATTGTTTTTTGCTTAGCCATAAGATGCTGTTTCATAACTTTTCCATCATTCATTTCTTTCACTTGGCATTAACTGGCCATTTAATTTCATCAGAAGTTTTACGACGAGACCTGCCTGTACAAGGGCATACAATTAAATTCTAATCAGCATTTCAGATCAATGACACAAACAATTTAAATATATGGCAAAGGTAAGTATACAGAAATGTTAGAAATTACATAATTTTAGAAAAAAATGATGAAAAACAAGAACTAGGTTTTCCTCATAAATCAGAAAGTGTTTTTCAAAACATTAAATCACTTCATCCCTCTATCCATATTCTTAAGAATCAAAAGGCAACTACTGTCAAAGTATACAAGACACTCAAAGCTGTAGTTCTGTTGCAACACATTTTAACATGACATATTATCACTAATACCATCCAATCTCAAACTCCGCTAATTTTGATAGAAAAGTTACCAGCGCTAATTCCGTGATTCTTAACATAAAATTGTCCTTAGAGTGTAAAGCATTGGGTACATGCAACAAACAGTTTCCATTACAAAAATTCTATTCCCTAATAACTGCAGATGTATTTTTATGTATTTTGAACCCTAAAGGTTTCACATACTAGGAAAACAAGCAAACATTCTGAAATATTAACAAGAGTTCTCATTTGAAAATCATTTTTGCGGGGACTTGGTTGGAGCATCTTTTATATGGAACAAGGGTTGTCAATCTCAAAAGAGAAGTCTAGAAAAAATAATTTAGCGTAAATAGAGGATGAAAAATGACAATGCTTACCTGTTTGGTATGCACAATAAAGCTCATTTTGTTTTCCAGACTGTGTATTTGAAAACATGTATCACCATCTCCCAATTGCCACATAAAGCAGCCATACTTTAGGCTGAGGAGTAAAGCCTACAATGAAATGCAGTAAACCGTCACTCAGAAAATACTCTCCATACTTACAAACTGAATTTTCCTTACTTTTCCTTACTTTAGATAGGATTCTACCTAAGTGAAACAGTATGTTCCATTATCTAGTTGTAGCTTATAAAGTAGTCAAGTGGAAAAATACGAGGCTTTCTATTAGTAGTGCCTTTTGAAGACTTCAAAATCTTGGAAATCTTCACAGTCAAGTCGGATGTGAAAAGAGACTAGTAAAAAAAAAAAAAAAGTAGAAAGTAGGAAGTAGCATGGGGAATTTAAGAGAACAGAATTAAAACTTAGCAGCTTTTATTGGCAGATCACGTAAGCTGACCTTTGTTTCCATGTTGAGGAGATGCAGCCCTTTCACATTGACTCCTACGTACACTTTGATGACTTTATGGCTACTTGAACTTGCTTTGGTGAATATCTGGCCGGTGAAAAAAGCTGCTCCATAAGTAGGAATTTCCCAGCAGTTCTGCAAAAACATGCGCTGAAGGTGATGCATCTCTTTACTTACACCTTCACTGGTGCTGAGGTTCTAGAAATAAAAGGACAATGGCAATCAACACGTCTTCCCAAATAATTGTGTTTATTTGAAGAAAATCCAAAGTTTAGTAGAATTCCCACTAAACTAGTATTCCCAAAGTGCTTTCCAGCAACCATTCTCCTGCACCTATATTAAACCCTGGAGTCACAGAAAAACTCAGATGCCAAAACAGACTGAGGCAGAAAGCAGTTGCCTGTATGAGCATCAAAAAATCTTAACCACAGACACCCAAGCACTGCAGATCCCCACAATTTTCCCTCTCTTAGAAGTACGTTGGACTTGTCAGGCGCTAAATACATAAAATCCAAAAAACCCTAAGCATTCACCTTCATCAACCCTTCAAGTGTTCAGATGAGCAAGTATCTGCACCAAACACAGCGTGGATTTTCTATTTTTTAAACAAAAGGCAGCACAGCTTTGTTTTCTTCAGCAAAGCCCTCACTTGGAGTGAGATGTGCTCCTGCTGTTTCCTTCCTCTTCAGTAACATGAAACAGTCACAACAAAGGGTTGTTAGAATGCGCTCCCACCTCAGAATATACTGGTGTAAAGCACCCTAAATAGAAAAAGGGGAAATAACTTTCTGAGTTCTGAAACTAAAAAACATTTCTGAAACAAAAAACTGCCTGGGCCACACATGAGAAGGCACAGGGACAAGAGGGAACACAAGTCTTTAGCAATTAGGGGGCCATAATTGTGGGTGTGGTGGGTGGCACCAACCTCTTTGGTTCCACACCCTGCATTACCGTTTATCTGAATTCTACACAGCTATTTTTAAAATGTAAAATATATGAATGTCTTTGGAACAAAGATTGCAGCTCCTTTCCCCTTCTCTTGCACTCAAAAATAGTGTCCAAAGAACAGAAGGCTAAAAAGCTGTGCTCACTCTTACGTATTATCAGATAAAAGAAAGAGTAGAGAATACTCTGCTGTGCCCCTTTCTACACCAGTCTTACAAAAACCATCATCTTCCCCTTCTTCATCTGTATTACAAAGATGATCTGCTGGTTTCTTACAGAAAAGGTGTAGGCATCAGGAGAAAGCATATGATTGAGTAACCTCATCTTAAAGAAATTGTGGCAAGGCCTGAAAACATTCTCTGTGTGCCTCTGCAGAGTTTCCTGTTCGCTACTGTAAGTGATGCGTGTCAGCTGGTACAATTCTCCCTGTCACACCTCACTTCTTCCATAATTTGTTGCGAAGTTCGCTAATTTAATTTTCAGGTGTGTCTGACCCAGTTTGGAATTCACAGCCTCAAGTTAGATGTCTTCTACAGAAGCAGCCCAAGTCCACATGTAAAAGTTTTGCTAAATGACCTACTCTAATCAGTGTAGTTTGTGAATCAGTACCACCAACGTCTCTAACATACAAGTTACACTGGCACAAAAGAGTTTATGGATCTATCGCTGCAAGAAGATGGGAAAATACAAATCAGCGTAGATTTTCTACATGTCCATCTCAATTGGCAACATCACCCAATGGAAAGATAATGTTGAGGATAAATGAACAGGTGACAAAATTATACTTATTTTTAAGAAACAAAACAACTGTAACTGTATAAGAAACAGAGCGTTCCAACAACCAATAGAAAAATTCAGAGCATACACATTTCCAGCTTCATATACGAGCATTTTTGTCCATTCACTGACAATCAGTCAAATATATGTTTAAGACAGGATTTTCTAGAATTTTATTATTTGTCCTACCTTGTATTCATGAAGTATCCTGTTTGTCCAGTGAGGAGCTTTACTCTTCAGTTTAGTGATTGGCACTATGGATTTAAGATTTTCTTCACTACAGGAAAAAGAAAGCAGAAAAGAAGTTTTCCTTCATCAAACAAAATAAGGACTCAGAACAATGGCTGCCAGTTTGCATCTTCAAGCCACAGACACAGAGCTACAGTCAGCTCCCATTCTACCTTGCCTCCTCAGATGAGAAGTTATCTTGAAGTTGAAGCTGGGGCTTCCTAAGATGGAGAGCAATTCTTAGTTAATGGCCATACAGTTGACAGAGCTTTGTGTTAACTGCTCTGTGTCACGCATTATGGACATGGCGGGGCAGGAAATGCTAGCAGCAGAACACAACTCTTACTTGATTACAGACCAGTTTGGTGGTTTCCAGTTCGGAAGCCAAAATTATATAGGGACAGTCGCTTAAACCAGAAAAATCACATAACTTGGTAAGGATGACAGCTTATGGGCACTCTTCCCTTCAGTGCTGTGTTCAGTACCAACAATAGCCAGGCCCGTTCATCTCCACGTGAAAATTAAATAGCTTCACTCTTGTATTATGAGCTATCTATAGAAAGTTCTATTTTCAAAAGAGGCAACAAACACTAAAAGGAAGCTGTAAAAGCCTAGTTGGCTTTCATGCACTCTTAATATAGGCTGCATCCCTTTTACACTATATTTGTCCATAACTTCACTACCAAACAGAAACCCCACACAGGACAACGCATCCGGGTCACTGCTGGTTTTCTGCTCAGCAAGCTCATTCATCTGGCTTACTCTGTACAGGTACAGTCCCTATGCCTAACAGAAGGCAGAGAAAAGAACGTGCAAGTGAGGCAGTACAGCCAGCCCTTTCAGAGGCAGCTCCCACTTGTATCAGTGTAACTGCAGCAAAAAAATGCACCTGATTTACTGATGGTGGAGGACATAACCAAGAAAAGCAAGCCAACACAGCTCAGCTGCTGCTGTGAATGAGAAGAGATAAGAAGTATAGTAGCCTCCCAGGATAGCACAGCTGCTGTTACATGAATGAGCTGGGGTGGAGTTGGTGGGGGGTGGAGTGAAGGTTCACACAGCAGAGGAGCGAAATCTTGATGTGTTCAGGTACCACTGTAGGAATGTATGTGGGAAGAAAAAAACACATCCCAGAAGAGCTCAGCCACAGCTCCATGGGCAAGTGAAGAGAAGGTGAGAGAAAAGCACCATCTGGCACAGCCCTGCTGGTGCTGTGTTTCTGACCAATTTGGTGTAGCATTTCACATGCAAATGTGAACAGAAATAATGCTCTCCGTGGTCTCTCCATACCCCCTCCAAAAGAGGGAGGAAAGACAGTCCAGAATCTGGTTTATCTGGACATAGTAAGGAATTCCTTCAGCATAGTCCAGTCTCCATCCTGTTAAAACCCTTCACTCACATGAATACCGTTATACATTTTCATATTACTGGATCTCAGCACAGACTTGCAGAATACAGAACCTCCATCCCTCTGCCTGGGACTGCAATAAGTAAAGTTAGCATGTTTTTCAGACACCACATCTAACTTCTGTTAATGCTACAAGGGTTATGTGGTCACTCTGAACTAGAGCTCAGTGACAGTAAATAACGCTATACCTAAAATTTGAGAGTTTCACACTAAGTGGAACTATCTAAAATATGTCATTGAAAAACAAAATTTGATGTTTTAAATGCACATACTTACTTCAGAAAGCCCTGTTTATGCTTCTTGCTCTCATAATTTCCATAGACTATTTGTAGGAGCAGACTTGCCAGTGTGATCAGTTTGGCATCAGGTGATGTATAGAAACCTTTCAGTAAGTTATATCTGGCTTCATCAAAAAGAATAAGAATAGCTAATGGATCCTCAATCTGTTAAAAAAATAAATAATTAATTAATGATTCCATGGTAAAACAAAATGAGCTTAGAAACAAGAAATACAATTTCTCATTGATTCAGAGATAGAACACAAAGGTGTGATCCTGCTTGAAATGTACCTTTTAGTAATGCTTTGTAATGGTAAAAATGACAATTTTTTTTTACTGACTTAATTCAAGACTTCATTCATCTAACGCATTTGCAAATTAAAGGTGACTAGCACACCATGCCCAATCAATAGGTTCACAGAAATACTGATATGTGTCCTCCTCCCCTGTCCCACTTCTCCCACCAATTTTGAATATATTTGAATAATCCCACTGAAATTGACTAATTAAGTATTGGATACATCACAGTATGAGGAAAAGAAAACAAGGCATGACAAACTGAGACTGGGGCACATGGACTTACAATAAACCAAACAGTTAAGAAGGTGAGAAATTAAGAGAGAGTCTGAGTGAATGTTGAGCAGGCATGGGGCAGAACTTGAAGACAAACTCTTACAGAAAAGGGAAGGAGAGAAGAGATCTGGTTTAAGTAAACATGGAAATTACTACAGTCACTAAACACACTAAGTGTTGATGTTCAAGGTGTCCTGATTCAGACCATGGTTTCACGCTATCACTTCTATGTGCAGACCTTTTTTTCTATTTCCAGTGGAAGTCTCACATCTCTTCTCAGGAAAAGCTGTGAAGTTTCCCTCTGAGGATCCAGATTTGTCAGTTCAGTGAATATTTCAGGCCAGTCTCGAATATGCTGCAAAGGCTTGTGATATGGCTTCAGTTGGAGGCCTAGAAAATACCAGTTTGTTTATAAATAAACAGAACAATAACCTAGCATATACATATATGGATGTTAAATTCTGTGCCAGAAACAGAATATCTCAAACTGAGGACTCATTAACAAACAGCTTTCCAATGCTTTCTAAACTGCTACATATAAAAGGTTTTAAAAATACAGACATATTGACAAAACTCTTGGCATATACTTAATAAAAGCACTAACAATGAACCTTTGTTGTTTTCATCTTCCCAAGAGTGAACTTGTATTTAAAAACCTAATGGAATACCAAGATGGACCATAAAACCACAAGTAGAGGGAATCCAGAAAGCAAGCAGACATATTAAATAAATCACAATAATTATTATGGGACAAAGTCCAAAAGTATGATTTTGACAGAAAAATACAGATATAGCTTATCTTGCAAACATACTTGCCATTTTTGGAGATATAATCCATAAACCTTTCACAACAGACATTAATTTTTTTTAAATATGTGAAATATCTTATCAGGCTACAGTAATTCAAATTTACATGTTCTCCTGTCTGTACCAGAGATGATATAAATGCAGAGGTTCCAGCTACAGTCCTGCTATATACAGGAGTCCATACCTTCAGCTGTGCTCATTCACTTGTCCTGCCTGTCTTTGTGACTGCTGTTTGGCTGTTTTCAGTAGCGAGGAACCAGAGCTGTATTTGTTTTTATCGTTACTGCCCTAGCCTCTACATTGTGACATTTTACATTATATGCAAAAATTCAAAGGACCTATTATAGTGGAACATGTTTTCACTGAGGATAATCTATCTATTCATTCTACTTATCCCCCCTACATTCAAACACAGAAAAATATTATCCATCCTATATACAAGGAGACTATGTGGTCTTTACAACTGCATGCAACAAACTGCAAGAAATGTATTTTTAAAACTTGTCATTAGTTGTTTGAAGTACTGTATATCAGAAGCTGATTCATTTTTAAACTTAGGCTAAATATCTACAGAATTACTTCGTTTTAAACAAACAATGTATCAGCGAATATTTCCCCTAAAATGCAAGGGTAGCATTTCTGTGATTTAAGTAAAACATGATATATATGCTTAGAAAAGGCAGTAAGACTTAAATACTCAAACACTTCTTTCATGTCTACAGCAGAAGGACTGGACTAGATGATCTTTAAAGGTCATGACTTTAAAGGTCATAATGGACTAGATGATCTTCCAACCAAAGCTATTCTCTACGATCCGTTCTGTTCCAGTTATTACATTCAAATGTGGGTTACAGTAGCCAGACTGCATACAACTACCATACTTTTATATTTAAAAAAAGTAACAATGCAACAGTGTTGAAGTAGTAGAATAATGACATCAATAAATAGAAGTTTGAATGCAAGGCTTCTGTCTTAACAGTACTGTCAACACAGTATCCACTGGACCTTTACTGTGTTTTGTAAACAGAAAGGCAATCTGGAACAGGCTCATCTTCCAAGATGAAATATATTTTAGGTGCCACAGTGAGAGAGTCAGACCTACTGGAGATAGCCAAAACAATGGGTAAAATGAAGTTATCTGTAGCTCTGAAAGCACAGTTTGAAGATATCAGGCTGTAAAGGTTGGGAGCTGATCTACTGCAGGAAAGCTTAAGCAGAGGAAATAGAAAATTGGGTCTCACTCCTTATGCAAAATATATAAAGAATGACACCTATAAGGATCACAGAGTCTCCAGGAGGGGCAAAGCATGTTAACAGACAGCCTAGATATAAATTAATTCCTAAACATAGTTTGTAAGAAACTGATACAGAGTATTACAAAACTGTCAGAGACCATGTTTCCTATTTTCTTAAGAAAATTGTCATTTTTTTTTAAAGGCAAACAAAAAAACCTATGATAAACTCTCAAGTATAACTAACTTCCCTGTTACTTACTGAGATTCTCAGAACAGATCCAGATAGTGAAGTATTGCTGAGTTTCTTGAGACAAACGCATCCCTTCCATTATCTGCTGTACAGTGGTATTGTTTCCATGTTTCAGCTCAACAGAGCGGTATGACCCATCCATACGATAAATCCGCGCCTTTTCATACTACATAAAGAAACAGTGTTTAATTCTTTAACATAAACTTGTACAAATTATTGTTGGTGCTTGGCACTGTTGAGAAAAAACACACTGCACAACTTCTTCATATTTTTAAGAAAACTGTATGTTTCATGTCCCAAGCAACTTCTTTTGAAGTGTTTTGTTTTGTTTTTTTTTTACCACAGTAACTACAAGATAGGTTCTACTGATATTTGAGGAGTTTGCTTCTGTTTAACTCAAAGGCAAGCAGGAACTTACAGAAAAAGGGATCTGGGCTCAACTGCCTAAACAGATCCTGAAATGACTACCTCACTATTACTGGCATGTTATGAACTATTCTCACCATTAGTCTAATCCAAAAAAGGTTAATTTTTCAGGAGGAAAGCACCATCCTTTACACAGACCCCAGCAAAATAAGAATACAATCTCACTAAGATCTTTTAGCCCTTCGATAATATTGCTAATAATAAATCATTTTCCCCTCTCAGAATTCCCATAGCCTTCAATCATTTACGTGTGGGTGTAGAGCGCGCTTTCTGAGAGACTGAAATCAGGTGCTTAAAGCATATACATATACACAAGTCATACAAAAAAAAGAAACATCTTGTATTCATCTCTCCAACAGGTTCAATGTTTCAGCTTCTCCAATAAAATGTTGCAAGATTGTGTTATTTCCCTTCCTCAAATCTGCTCAGTGCTCAAGAGCTGAGTAGCCTATTTTGTAGAAGTCTGCATTTAAGCAGCTGAGTGTCCCTGTTTATCAGCACGTAAGTTAATAAGGAATAAAGAAAAGTAATGGTTATATCATCAAAAGTAGACATGAGATCAATAGTTGATGTGATACTTCTACAAATAAATCAAATAATCACATTTAAAGTCTTACAAGCCATAAATATGCACAGAAAAAAATTAGACAAAATGCTAGTTTGTCAATATTTACACTAACAATTTAAGTATACTGCATGTTTCCAGTAACAGCTATAAGTCGGCCTAGCTCTTCCACAAGTCTATGTGTAAATTAAATATAAACTTCAAACAATTTAGAAAATAAACACATACAGGTTTATTTATGGCTTCCTTCAGCAGTTTTGCAGTTTCTTCCCATTCGTTTTGTTTGTTCTCTTCACAGACATTCAGTGGAGACCTTCCTTGTTGATCAGTAATGTGCTACAAACAAACAGAAACACAGAAAATACATTGTTTTGACTGGAGATGGGTAAACACTTACATATTTTCAAGATTAAGATCCTCAATCCTGGGGTTTAACATTTCATTGATATAGAATGGGAAAAGCAGAATGGAGGAAAAACATGTAAGCATTTTTTTGGCAACCTCTCCACGGGATGACACATTTTGATCCGGACACAAAGTATTTCACATGCACAACCTAGAAAGGGGATGTTAAACTGCCATTTCTGTACACAAACAGAACTTACTCTGTCAATTTCTGGATGATTCAGTAAAATTTGTACTATTTCAGCATGCCCACCTCCAGCAGCAAAATGCAGAGGAGAGCTAAGCTGGCCATTCAAAAGGTTTGGATTGCATTTCCCTTTCTCTAACAGCATCCGAGTGGCTTCAACTTTTCCATACCTGCAGATAGATTAAAAACAGAACAGACACAAGTGTAAACAACAATCTTTTTCAGATACTCATAAATATGAAAAAGTACATTGCCATGCTCAAGAGTTTAACTCTGAAATGACACCAAAGAGAAGGGAACATTAATAAGTTTGTGGAAACTATTGTACACTTCCTCGGTACCATCTAGTAACTGTTTATTGGATTCATTACGGACACACCCAACCTTGCTTTAAACAAAGTTGGGGTAGCTGTAGCAATGCAGTCACACCAAAAACAGGTCTCAGCCTTGCCCACAAGTAATATGATTCTCAAAATCCTTGTGAGAATCACATTAAACCTTCTGACTGTCACGTAGATGTCTCCTGAGAACACCTAAACCTCACAGTGGTAATTGGTAAATCTGGTGTATGCAGTTCATGTAAATTGTCTGAGAAACACTAAAAGTCAAATAAGTTTTTTGTTTGCTTTCAAACAACTGAGCTTGATTTTCATGTTCTTCAGGTCATCAGACGCAATCATAAATACAGAAGACTAACTTGTTTAAGGACAAAACAAAAGCATTTCTACAACAACTGACAAAAGCTTTAAAGGAATTATAGATTAAAATAATCACAGAATTAGAGAATCAGACAAGTTGGCATCTGGAAATTACCTAAATCAGCTTCCTGCTCAAAGCATGACCGTCACCAACACTTGCTATTACTGTACAAAACTACATGTACTTGTAGCCTTTAACCAGTAAAGACTGCAAAAGTTACCACACTAAACCAGACCCAGCAATTAAAACAGATGCTTCAGGACAGCTATAGGAACAATAGATAAGTGTTTGATGATATGGTATCCATACCTGGTCTCTGAAACCATTCAGATAGCAATTATCTCAAAACCTGAAGCAATATTTCTCTTCAAAAGGTTAACACTAACATTTATAGTTTGAGTCTAATAAAAGTCTAGATTTTTTTCCTCATTTTTGAGTCTGCACGATGAATTACACAGGTGCTTAGTGCTAAAGAATTGCTACAGCAAGAATATGCTTCATTTGCAAAAATATATCGAACTGACTCACCAGCATGCATAATGGATAGGTGCCCAGTGGTCACTGTCTAACTGATTAACAGAAAACTTTTTGTCCAGAAGGTGGCTTAGTAAATCAGAATCGCCTTCACAAGCACTCCGATGAAGAGGGAAATCATCTACCCACTGGTGTTCCCTATTAAATTAAAGGGAAAGCAGAAGGAAAACACAGTTCAGTAATATTTCAATGACTAACTCACAACTAACTTCAGATCTACAGCTCATGCAGCTAAAATGTGTATTTGTACAACTAGTATTTTAGTCATGCAGTAGCCAAGCCACAGCTGTACTCATTATGCTAAGAAATGCTTCCCTAATGTTTGTAATTTAAAACTTCCTTGACCCATCCTTTAATTGTTGTGTTTCAGTACTTAGAGACTTCAAATAGATTTTTTTAAATAGGCATTTGTACAGTGAAGCCCTAAAGAGAACATCATTCTGAGTCTGCCAAGTACTACTGTAATATAACAAAGCAAAATTATCTATTAAAGAAAAAGAAATGTAAGGTAATACTTGTCCTCTGTGACACTGCTCATGCTACGTTGCCACTTTTCTCTTTTAGGAATCTGAATTTTTGAATAGTCTGGGGCTCCAAGGCCAAAATATGGATTTATTACCACTTTGTCAACCTGTGAAGACATAATTTAAACACAACTGAAAAAAAAAGTCTTACTGAGATTTGGTTAAACAATCCCCCATCCAACCCAAGTATTCTCTTGGAACCAAATTTATGCTAGTGACATTTTATAACTAAAGTGACATTTTATAACTGTTCAAGTGTGTGGATTTTAAAACCTATTTGGCAGTTAAGTGTGCAAGAAAGAAATCTGACCACATTAAAACACAAAGCATGCTCATATGAAATATGAGCTGTAAAATGAAAATGTACATATGTTTCACAAATATAAAATGAAAATACAGTTCTTACCCTATTGGTATATTGAAGGTCAGACCCAAACAAGGGATTATAGATACACATATCTGCTTTCTCTAGTGCCAGCATTTTACTCTTTATTTCCAAGGCAGTATAACCCATGTGTAACGAGCTCTCTGTTTGACCAGGTTCTATAGCATAGGCAGGGTTTATTACATTTGTTTTAATTCTCTCAAGAGGAGATGGTCTGAATAAAGCTGGGATGGAATGAGACTGGGTATGCCGTTCATCCAGCCACCTGCAGAAGAGAATGAGCAAGTAATTCATTTTCAGGTAATAAATGAATATTTTGGTCATGCCTGGCCGTTATTTTATTTGATTAAGGGTTGTATGCATGATAACTATACATTAAGAAATAATTATAATGTGCAGAGAATTTTATCACACTAAATTACTCCCCCCAAATTATTTTTTAATAGAATATAGTTAAGCAAACGTTTGCTCAAACACATTTCCGGCAGATGCAACCTCTCAAAGAAAAGGAAATTAAGATCTACAGTAAAGGTAGCGATGGTTACAGCCAAAACACGTAACCACACCAAGTTATCGTTTCATTTACTTTCAGTTCATCAGTGTTACTACTCTCAGCATACTCATTTTGAAACTTAAAGCAATTTGTTTAAAGTGTGAGCTGAAGTTTCAGTATGTACGCAGACTGAAGTTTCCTTTGATAACTCAGAAACTGCTCATTCTCTTTCATGTAGGCTACCACCTGCTTTTTCACATAGCTTTGCTGAAGATTATTCTGTTTTAAGTGGACTCCTCCTGACAATACAGAATGGCTTTAGGGTCATGTGGAACAGGACATTTTAAAAGTCTAAAGTCAGGTTTGCATTTTAGGTTTCCACACATTCTTTCTCGAAAGCTTGAAATAAATTCATACTTCACTAGAATACAGTAAATTCTTTTTAGTGATTTACCCCAGAAATGTAGAAGAAAGAAATAGATGCTCTGGAATGAAAGATCCACTGACAGGATCATTTGGATCTTGCCAGTCCCAGAACCACGTCTAAGAATGTGGCTTGCAGTTAAAAGCACATTCTTAGGCCTGGATTTTTAAGTCCCAGATCCAACCTATCACGTCCTGCAAAAGCTATGTTCCTTTCACTTACTCATAGTCCTGCTGAGAGGAAGGTCTTAAAAATTGTGGTCATTGTGCTCTAAACACCCTCTTGCCTATCTGAGGGTATTTTCAGGTAATTTCAGTTGATAGATTAATTTGAAAAGTTCAAAAGTACCATATTAAAGTGTTATGTCAGACTACCTCCCTAGAGAATAATCCATATAAACTCTTTTCTATTATACTTCCAAAGTTTCTCTAACAGCTGTAAGCCTGGTGACGCATTTTAAGCAGAGCTTAGAATCTGAAGGCATAAATTAACAAATAAATATAAAATCTGGCATAATGGTATACACAGAAATACTAATGAACTGCACAAAAACTACACACAGAACCTTGCCAGGCAGTAGTCTGTAATTATTATTATTATTGTTATTATTATTACTTTTTGCATTAGCCAAGAGCTTCACCTAACCTTATGTGTGGCAGAAAAAGGTGCTCATAAACATGATGTTTTCCTATTTCCTATTAAAGGCCTCATTAACCTACAGTTCAGACAGACTTACTCCTGCAAATAAGTTCATACATAAGTATGTCTGGTATTTCTTTGTTAAGGGGACATTAAATGTAAAAAAACCTGCTCACATGTTCAAATTTCAAACTCCTATAAATCTGGCTAAACAACTAATCACCATTCTGAAACTTAATTCACTACTGCAAATAAACATGTATGTCTGGGAGAGATGCACTTCACTGTTTCTAAAGGCAAATCTAAATGGTATAAAATTAATAAGACATTTCCACTGCAGTCTTGCAAATACTCTTATTGATAACATTCATGTCACTTCCAGAAGATTAAATATTAGTATTTTATGTGATTTTATAAAACATTCACTGTAAGCAAGGACTTCCAAGAAGCCACTTGATTTAAACAAGCACACCATTTCTCAGTTTACAAAAACATTTTGAAAAAGATTTAGAAATCTGTTGTCATGGTTTTAGATTCTGATAAACATGAAGAAAGCAACCTGATATCAGTATGATTTTCTTTTTATTCACAACGATGTAAAAATTATTTGCAACATCTCCAAATTTTTTTCTCTTCTATTTTACTGTACTTTTATTTATGTCATTTCTTACTTGTCCAAGGCAATTAACATTCTTGCAGTAAGTGTAGCAAAGTGGGTGCTGGATTCACTGCAGACCCTCATGATGTCTTGTAAACAGTAGAACACGGGACATCCCGGACTGTATGCATATTTTGTATTATCTGTAAGGGAAACATACTCTGAAGACTCATCAAAGAAAACAATCTTATTTTCCCTTCTGCATCTTTTGTAGTTATGTGTTCCCAACTGAGAGTAGCTGAACTTTTTCCATATAATAATTGATAAAAATTATACACAATCCTTACATAACAATTTACAACTCAAAAGACTAGCCTTAAAAAACACAACGTGTTCAGTTACTACACCATCACTGTGATCGGCTTCATCTGAGAAATTAATGTGAAATGTTTGCTGTTGTCAGAAAAAAAAAAAAGAATAGGGCTTAGGAACTGAAGTGTTTAACGCTATTGGTAACTCCACAATGGTATTTATTTATTTGATAGTTTTTATCCTTAAGGACTATCACAAAAACAAAAAAGGAGTTTCACCAAAGGCACACAGACACTTATTTCAGGCTTGTTTTAAAAACTTTCCCGACAAGCAGTTTACTTAGTTTTCTAAAGAACTTCTTCACCATTGCACATTAAACAAAACTGCTTACAGAATTCACTAAGCATTCTTCTCTGAGTAAACAACACTGAATTGAATAGTCTGGATGCCTTATTTACAATTGCATTCAGCAAGTTCAAAGGAGGTGATTACAGTTCAAAACATATGCATTAAGTGAACAAATACAGCTTAAATCCATAAGTGAAAGTGTGCTATAGTTATAGAAATAAATGCAATCCATTAAAAACAAGTTTTTCCCATGCCTTTATGCAACATTTTCAAGTTTTAAAGTGTTCAGAGAGAGGTTTCCACGCAAATCTAACTTTTTAATGTTTAAATACAAATCATACAGTGTATTCATAAGAATTCTTAAATCCTCAACTGAACTTCTACTAACATGAATGCAACTTCAGAAATTAAATTTAGTGTTACCTTTCACAACAGTTGGAACGATATAAAGTGATGCCTCCTGGCCTGTCTTCTCTCCATCAAGAGGAAACTTCTTCATTAACACTACACGCTTCCCTAGTACAGTATTAAAAAACAAACAAACAAAAAACAATTAATTAATCAAGAAAACAAAACAACCCAGAGTTGGCTAACAGAATGCTTACCAGACCCATCCTTCCTAATTTTAGGAAGAAAAGTCACTTATTATTAGCTATAATGTAAAGCAAGGTTAGAAAATCTAAATAAATACACAAAACAAAGAACATAAATATGTATATACCCATTAGCCTGAAAGATAACAGACTGTACGCCTTATTTCACAGTAACTTTTCTATGCCTCTAATTATTCAGGTAGCATTCACCCCCTAAACCACTCATCTTTAAGTTAAATAAGATTCTTTCTGAAATGGGAAAGTGCAGCTGCATGCAATATTTCAGGTTAGGGTAATTCATGTAGTGGTAGGACAGTATTTTCTGCATTATCCTCCCTTCTGCCCTTACAGAATCCAGCATTTTGTTTGCTTTTCTGACTGCAGTTGCATATTTTAGCAGAGGCTACACTAAACAGTTCATATTAATGCATGGTTCATGAATCAATTTAAAACTCTCCAAACTATGTAAAAAACAGACAGTTTTTGCTTTTGCTTTTGCTAGGCATCCCTCAATGTGTACTAAGTTATTTCATGTTTCCTGCTTCACTGCCTTTGTTAAGTCCATCCAACCCCACCTATTGCCACCTACAACATTTTACCGTGCAACCAGTTTATCCAAATCGTTAGCACTGTCTCGTCTGCACCGACAACCTTCCCAGTGTAACCTTACTTACAAAACAAAGATGAGGTACACAGCAAAAAAAAAAAAAAAAAAAAAAAAAAGTGCTTTAGTCAGTATAGTTTATACCAATCTGGAAATTAAATAAGCTGACTAAACCAATTTTTGTCAGCACAAACACAAGGTCACCTGCTGGACCAGCTATGTCACAGTAATAAAAAAGAAAACATACCAATCAAATTATAATTGTAACTGATACAGTTATGCCACGTTTTTTCACGTAGATATTGCATCTCTTATACAATGCTGGCATCAGATCAGACCAAGGTTAAAAAAGGTGCTTCAATCTGCTTTGCCAGAAGTTTAGCTATAAATCTCAATTTGAGGTGGAGTAGTAGAACAGGCAAAGTTTCACTTAAGAATCTTTTAGTAAGCATTTTATGGACTTGGAAGGTAACAGGAAACAATGGTAAATGAAAGGTTTTAGCTGTGCGGTGGTTTTTGATGTAACTCAAAACGTACCTTCTTTTTTTTAATTTCACGCTCTTGTATTACCTCCATGTGTCCATTTAAATTTTAAACTATTTATAGAGCTATCAACAAAAAATCAGACTAGAATATTTTTACCTTTAATACCCTGATTGGCTGGTGATATTGGTTTGGTGGCTTCTAATACATAATCCAAGATGCTCTGGGTTATCTCAGTGCTTCCCTGCAGTTTAGTTTCCAGCAAAACTTTCTTTCTTTTTTTCTTTTGACCTTCAATGGGAACTTCGAGCAGCAAAATCTTTCAAACAATAAAGAAACAAAAGGTGTTTAAGCATGACTTAGACAAGCACTGAACAACTGGGTGGTTTTTTTTGTTTGTTTGTTTTTAGGTTTATCACACCATGGTAAAAGCAGTAACCAAATTCATGAAGTATTGAATCTGGAGGAGCAAGACAGTGAAGTCAGAATGACCTCTGCAACAGTAAGGTTAAAGATAAAAAGACAAGGCTGCTCCCTTGTACTAAGCAGCCCACAGGGCGAAAGGCCCTGATGTGAAATGAAAGACAAGGAAATTACACAACCGTAAAGTGCTCAAATAATCTAATGATGGTGTGACACACAGTAGGTATGTGACATGAATGTATGTTATTTAAGCAATCTTACTGTCAGATTTTCTTTTTTGCCGTATTATTATACATTTATTATTACATATTATTTTTTAAATGTTAATAAAAAAAAAATCTTAAAGTTTTACTTCATAGGATTTAGCTCGATATTCCCGAGAATTCAGGCTAGCAGTATTTTTTGGACGAATCACAGCAACATAGGCATCTCCAATGTTTTCTGGGTTTCCCATCTCTCCTCCTGCTTTTTTAATCTTATCCCTGGAAATAATGAATAAACAGTAAGTAAAGATTCAGCTGATATTAAAAACAAATCCAACAGCACACTAAACACCAGTATGCAGTGGTTATGTCCACTGATTCTTTGTGTTACTCATTTATTATTCATTATCTCTTTAGCTGGAGAAATACCAATGGTTACTATGCTTCTGCTTACTGTTCATGAAATAATAACACAGACAAAAATAAGAGAATGAGGAAAATCTTACATTATGTAGATTTTATATGAATAATCTTGTTCTCTAAACCACTTTTACAGTAAACATATTTTTTCCAATTTGTAAATAACTCTTCACATTTTGCAAGCCAGACATAAGGCCAAAGAATTTTAGGACACTGAAAAAAATGTTTTAAAGTTATAAGCATGGTAATTCACAAAAGGTGCTGTCACAAAGTACTGTATTTCTATCAGTTACACAGGGATTTCAGGAAAAAAAACTTGAACCCTTTCCTTTTATTTCTCCCAATATGAAGTATAATAGTCTTGACTACAGTCCAAGTAACAGAGCTGATAAAAATAAGCTATAATATGGATTTTTTTTCTTTAGCAGGATTGTAAGCTGAGCCACAATCCATTCAAGCACAGCTTCTGGAAGCAATACGTCTTCAGTTTTAGCAAAAAGTGAATAGAGGTCTCAAATTTGATTTAATACAAAATTTTGCTTATGCTTTAAATCAACCTAAAGTGACAACTCCTGTAATTATAAAATCTTATGAAAAGGATTGGGAAAGCCTCTTACAACAAAATCACTTCATAGATCAGATTCAAGACAGCCTGTCATGTCTGGCCATGAGCACTTTTCAGATGATCATTTTCTTAATTTGCACATGAACCTCCTCTCAGTCCACATGCTATTTGCAGATTAATCTTTCCACAAAGATTTTTAATGTTACTGTTTATATTTTCTTCACCTTTTCTAGGAGAAACAGAGGTCTTCAGATTCCCATGCTTTTAGTCCAATATTTCTGCTGGGATCCGACTACCTGAAAATACATTGAAAACATACATAAATAACAGCACACACAGTTTCACCTTCAGTTAAGACAACTGCATTAGTTAGCTGATGTAATGGTGGCACTCAAGTATATCAGGAAAGAAGTATCTAAAGATGGGTTGGCATTGCAGTAGCTTCTAGGAACATCAAATAAGCAATGCACTAACTCGTGAGATTTAAAGGAACAAGAAACACCCATCCCTTGCAGGCAGCTGGTCAAGGCTTGGTGTCTGGGTGTCCTTACATGCACTGGGGTACGTTGGGTTTGGGTCACAAGTGGGGAGAAGGAACCTGCGTGGCCAGGGCTGGGCCACCTGGGTGGCTGGTGTGTGGGCCACAGATGGATTTGCTCGCAAGGAGGCTGCTCTGCACTCAATACAGAGAACGGATGATGATAATTTTGGGAAACAAATAGCTCTGAGAGCTGCCATGTGACTTCAGAAAACAAAAACGGATGGTGAAGAAGGAGGATGTGACAATAAAAACTTTCAGAAGACACCACCTGTGACTTGATCCTAACCAGACCCTGATGGCTGTAATGCATACGTGTCCCAGCAGATGTGGGCTCTGAAGAACATGCTTTGACCAGATCCCTCCGGAGCTGCTGGCCCATCCCCGCTCCCTCACACCTCCACTGAGGTGTGCTGCACTCCTTTGACCTCCCAAAGGAAGAGGCCCGATGTGCACCTCTCAGGTGGTTTCTACCAAGCTGCAATGAGATGACTGAAGCTGTACTTCCTCTCCCACGTGAATCCTAGAATCACTAAGGTTGGCAAAGGCCTCCAAGATCATCAGGTCCAACCACCCCCCTACCACCACTGTCACCACTGAACCGTGTCCCCAAGCACCACGTCCAACCTCTCCTTGATCACCCCCAGGGACGGTGACTCCACCACCTCCCTGGGCAACCCGTCCCAACGCCTGACTGCTCTTTGTGAGCAGAAATGTCTCCTCATTTCCCACCTGAACCTCCTCTGGTGCATCTTGAGGCCATCCCCTCTAGTCCTGTCACTAGTTACCCGTGAGAAGAGGCTGACCCCCAGCTCCCCACCCCTTCCTTTCAGGCAGTTGCAGAGAGCAATGAGGTCTCCCTGAGCCTCCTCTTCCCCAGACTAACACCCCCAGCTCCCCCAGCCGCTCCTCACAGGACTTGTGCTCCAGGCCCCTCAGCAGCAGCTGGACACGAAGCATGGCCATGACCCCCCTGCCGAAGCAAGGCAGCACCCCCTTTCCCTCCCCATCCCTCCCCGCAGCACCCCGGGCCCTGTGGCAGGGCCGTTCCCCGCCCTCCTCGGGGCCGGCCGCCCCGCGCCCCGCTCCCTCCCTCGGCCTCCTCCTCCCGGCTCCCCGCGGCCGGGGCCGCCCCAAACTTCCCAGCCCCTCCCCGCCCGAGCCCCGGTGCCCTGCAGAGGCCGCCCCACAGCGGGGATCCCCCAGAGGGACCCTGCTCGCTCCCCCCTTGCCTTCCTCGCTGCCGCCGGCGGCCGCCTCCCCCGGCGCATCCTCGCTGGGCGCCGCAGCCGCGCCCCGCCGCGCTCCGCCCCGGCTCCTCCCCGCTCCTCCTTCCCTCCCTTCCCTTCCCTTCCCCGGCCCGGCGGATCCGCTTCCCGTCGGAGCCCCGCGGGCCCCGGCCGCCCATGAGTTTCCGGGTCGGCGGCCTGAAGGGCTGCTGCTGCTGCTGCCGCCGGGCGTCGGCTGCGGGCGGAGAGAGAAGGAGGGGACGAGGAGGAGGAGGAGGAGGAGGAGGAGGGCGGCCGGGAGCATGAGGCGCTGCTGCCGCCGCCGGGCGGGGAGCCGCTGAGCCGGAGGCCCCGGCAGCGCCGCCGAACAAAGGGGGAGCGAGGCGGCGGCACCCGCAGCCACAGCCGCAGCCGTGCCCAGGGAGCCCGGAGCCCCGGAGGGCGCCGCAGAGCGGAGCGCGGAAAGCGGCCGGCGAGGGGCGAGCGAGCGGCGGCCGCCGAGCAAATGGAGGCGCTGGGCGGCGGCCGCCGGGAAGGGCCGGGGGGAGCCGCCGCGAGCAGCCGGTGAGTGCCGGTGAGGGCTCGGCGAGGCGCAGCCCGGAGCCCCGACCCGCCCCCACCGTGTCCCGGGGGGGTCCCTCGGAGAGGCAGCGCCGGGGTGCGGAGGGGAACGGGCGGCTGGGGGCCGGGCGGGGGCTGCCTGGGGGGGCTGCCAGCCGCCGGGACCCGCCGCCAGAGCTGGAGGGCTGGTGTCTCGGTCTCACTTTGTTTGATTTCCAGAAGAAGCGCAGCGAGGTGTCGGTGCGGTCGCTGCTTTATGTAAGGGGCAGGCTCGCTCCCTGAGGCGTGTCTGGGCGCACGAAGCTGGCTGCGAAACGCCAAGAAGCCGGGGCAGCCGTGACAGCCCGGCCCGGCCCGGCCCGGGGCGCCGGGAGCCTCGCTGCTCGGGCAGCCTCGCCAGGAGTTTTCACGGCCCCTTCCTTCGCTGCCGGGCCGTGCTGAGCTGTAGCGGTGGGCGCAGCACCCGCAGACCTGCCCCAACTTCTTTCACTTTGCAAAGAGAGAGGCGGCTTCCGAGGGAGCGAGCAGCCGCAGCGCCCAGCAGCAGCAACAAGAGGCTGAGAGGCAGAAGCTTTCCCTGCCCGTGTGACTGCTTTATCCTTACTTCCATCTCTTTGATTATAAACGCGAAGCGTAGCGTGTTCACTTCTCCTCAGTTTCTTTTCGGTACACGGGAAAGTGCTCTCCTTCCCCTAAAAGAAAAAGGGGTTATTCATACAGAAAGTGACAGCGTTTTTCAACTTCTAACACGTGGCTTGTGTACCTGAGGTATACACAGAAGTGAAACGGTGGAATTTATAACAGGATTTAAAAGAAGTCTCTTTTTTTTTTTTTCTTTAAATTGATGTAGAAAGTGTGAGCGGCTGCTCTTGCAAATAAGAGACCAAATTACTGAGGAGGCTTCTGGAAACTTTAATTCCAAGACTTGGTGGTCTTGTACTCAAGCAATTCCCACTTCAATAAATTTAGTTTAGCCTGTACTAAAATACTTCATTCTTTGTTCTAACATATTATTCCTGAATTAAAAATACTACTAGAAAGCAAGCAATAAGCTAAATAATGTTGGTGATGCCCTCTCTTTGTATGTGCATCAGTAGAATATTAGGAATGAAAATAATTTGAAAAAGAAAAAGAAAGTGGAACGATTTATAGTGAGTAGCATCAGTAGCCAAAAGAGGAAAATCAAGCAAGATACATGTAAGATCTACACGGCCCTTTTTCTCATTTTTACATGTGGTTTGCCACGTCTAGCTAGGATGAGGTATGTATAATTGTCTGGTGAGGATTACTGAAAGAACCTGGAGCTTCCAAGATGCATATATATATTGCGTTTAAATTTACTTCTGTTTGTCAGGTATTTCTGTCAGGATTACACGCTCCTGAAAGTTAAAGGAAACAGCTACCATGCCTGCTACACCAGTCGGTTTTGGTTAAGTGGAACAACTTCTTAAAATGGTTTTAGACAGTGTCGTCAAGTCTCACTTACGTGAGAGCTTGTTAACGCGATGGCTGATTCAATGCGTCCTGAGCACTTTCTCACCCATTAGTCCCTGGCGCCTTTGCTGTGATTGATTAGCACTAAGTTATTTTTGTTGTTGTTTCAGTAATAGAGCTTTGTTTGTCAGTTTTTGACTAGTTTGGCCAGCAGAGTTTTTTGTTTGTTTGTTTTGTGGTGGCTTCGTATGTATGTGATTTGTTCTGTTTAGATTTCACATGGTCTCCATTACCTGAGTGGTAAACCAGCTTCATCTTGAAATCTGAATTCTCGAAGTTGCTTTCTGGTGTTGTGATTGTTGGAATTTTGTCACCTTTGCTAAGGTGACCCCTACCAGTAAACAAAGTGGAAGTCTGGAGGTTACACATGTCTGTGCTGAACCGGTTATGTTTCTAATCCCACTACTGTATAGTAATTGATGATAGATAGGAACGAGAGATCTTTTGTTTTGCTTGAAGAGTAGACCTGTGGAAATTGTGAAATGTTCAAAATGACAGAGAAGATTGTGTTTTGAAAGCTGTCATCATTGGACAAGATTTTTACTGCTTCCCTTCTCCCTCCCAAATACACTGCACATGAATTGCATATATGTGTAATTTGGGGGGCCACAGAATATTTCATGCAAGATTATATCGCATTAACAGGTTAAGCCCAAGCAGTCTACCTAATATTTAAACTACTAGTTTTCTTCAGAACCTCTAAACATCTTCTGGATTTAAAGTGAAACTGGTGAAAATAGCCCATTTGCCATTTTCCTCGGAGGATTATTACGTTGTCTTCACTAGTATCAGTAAAATAGTATGCTTTGCATTCCAACCTGTCTTAATTTGTGTTTATATGTATGTGTGTATGTGTCTATTTATGTCTTATCCCAAAGAGTAGTCAGGGCGGAGTGCTATACACGTAAGTACAGTGGTAGTTGAGAATCTTCAGTTAATTAGTCCAGAAGTCAAAGTGGGGAAGAAGAGATAATAGTTACCTTTTTTTTTTTAAGGTTTTCCAAATTTCCTTTATCATTCATGCACTTTTAACAATACAGTCCTTGCTTTCTGATTCTTTGTTTTTAGCCTTATTCCAGTATTCCTGTTTTTAGTAATGAAAAAATTATCAGAACTTGGAAACATGCCATATAAAGATTAAAATTTCAAATTCACCTATATTTATATCCTTAGCTCTCCTGTTTTGCAAACAAGAGAATTGCCATATAAGTATTTTTAGCTAAGACAAATGCTTCTTTTGACCTAGAACAAATTTTTAGTCATGCTATTATCCTTGAATTTTCTCTAACATATTTTGTTGATGTTACTTAAGAGAGGTTTTGATTTAGTGGTTTTGCTTTGATTTATATTTTAAAGCACGTTAATGCTGGACTTGGAATGTTAAAGGATAATTGGAGTAAAAATACAATAACAGGTTGTAAATGGATTACTGCAGTGAAATAGGAGGACCTCTGTGCTGAATGCCTGAGATCCTTCCCGGCTGGGGAGGCTTTCCGGAGCAGCTGCACGACAGCGCCTGTCAAGTTCCTCGGTAACTTTTCTTGTCCAACCCTTTCCTGACAAGGAAGCCGAGGAGCTTTGTTTCAAACCGAAGCAAATTCTCTAAGAGTAAGGTTAGGTATAAAACAATTCTTATGTACAGGCTTCTGTACTGGCAAAAAACTTTATTAAATTTCTTGGGGATTTTCCCTTCTTTAATAACAACGGGAAGGTTTTCAATTTTGACATGGACTTTCATAGTGAAAATAGCACTCTAAAAACATAGGAGTAAATAAACCAGAAAGACTTTTAGAAGTACAGCACTCACCAAAAAAAATCCATGGAATAAGGGCTGTCAGATGGTAGCCAAATGGTGTATATTCATTTTAAGGGAGTATTTTTAAACTGCTGTGAACCACTTAGCCCTTGCTTTATAATAAAGGCTGCAGTGAAAAATACAGTCTAGGCATTTCCAAGTCACTGTGGTATTTGGAGTAAGCTGTAAGTTTGGAATGATCTGAATTCGTATTTACAGTTGATGGTCAAATGCAAAGACATAACCCTTTTACGTTTTAGTGTTCTGAAAAAAAGCATAGCTTTAGTTCAAAGAAAAGATCAAGAATAATTGATTTCTGGACCATCTGCAAGAGTGTATGCAATACAAGCCGATTTATAAATATATATTTTTTTTAGTAACTAGATGATAAGCTTTGAAAACCAAAATAACCTGAAGGGAGTTGTTTTGCTCTCAGACCAGTTGGTTGTGCCTTACTTTCTTAATTAAGCAACCAAGAAAGCCATGGCTTGGATACCTCCTCTTCTAAATCTTTGTCATTTTGGGGAGATTTTCTAAAATGTAGAGTAGGTTCTAAAATACAATTTATTTATTTAATTTTCAGGAGCCAATATCAGAGGAAGGCATCAAATACTAAAGAAAAAGTCCATTGCTTACTTTCAAATTCAGGTTTAACTAAAAGTCCTAAAACACAATTCATGAAGACAATTTTTTTCTTAATGTAATGCTCTTGAAACTTACATTTAAATCAGTTTCTGCCTATGGCAAGTTAACAAAAGTATAATTTGTAGCAAGACGTTTGTTTATATCCTTGAACATAATAGCTGCTGCTGTTGAAGCTTGTGTTACTTCTTTTCCATGCAGTGTTTCTGCCCCATCTTGTAGTAGCTGCTCTACCTTTGTGTTGTGTTGGTGTTTTCCCTGTATTTATTTGGGTGGTTTCTATCTTTTGAGTATTTGTCCTTATTTTCCTTGATTTTCTTCTGTCCATCTTTTCCCATTATTTTTCCTATTATCGTGTTGTTCTTTGTTGTCTTACACCTCTCAAAGCAAAGGTCAGTTTCTTCTGTTGACAGCATGAATGGCTTCTGATGTTGTGCACGGCTCTGTTGTGCTCCTGCACATGGAGCCACGATTGTCTCCAGCATCATCTGCTGTGGTAAGGGCTGGTGGGTGCTGTTGTACTCACCTGATGCCTCTCTCTTGTGAAGCTAATTGGGTGGGTGACACCTTTTTACATATAG